GTTATGATTTCAATGCTGCACTCCAGCCTGAGTAACAGAGCAAGACGCTGTCTCAAATCAAAAATAATAAATAAAAATTGTGTAAAATTTAGTATATTCAAGTGTGTAAACATATGTGTGTAACCATATGTGAATATACTACATTTTACACAATTTTATATTTACAATTGTTATATGTATGTGAATATATTAAAAGCCATTGAATTGTATACTTTAAATGGGCAAACTTTATAGTATATGAATTATATCTCAATAAGGCTATTTGTTTTAAAAAAAGAAGAAGAAATACTAAATCGTAAACAGTACAAAAAATATACGAGGCATTTCATTAGTTAATTTTTACATTGATTACATTTTCAGATGATAATATTTTGTATATATTGGGTTATATAAAATACACTGTTAAAATTAATTTCATCTGTTTCTTTTTATTTTTTAATATAGCTACTAAAAAAATTCAAAATTACAGACATGGCTCACTTTATATTTCTGTTGGACAGTGCTGCTCTAGAGATTTTACACAAATGACTTAAACATTCTGAACTCCAACTTCCTCATATGTTATGAGGCTGTAATAATAGTACTGGCTTCACACAGTTATGACGAGGGTTACATGGTTTTAAACTTAGCATTTGGATGTTAGCTTTTATTCTAAGTATTAGTTCTTATTATCAGGGAAGCCCCTGGGTACCACTGAGTACAGTGGTCATGTCAAAAACCCCCAGTAGGCTCCTTGGATTTATTTTACTATTATAAAATCATTTTTAGAAATGAATTTTAGAAACCATCACACCCAGGAATCACCAACTGTCACTTTGCCAAACTGTTGTTTAACAACCCCATGGTTTTCAAAACTTGAATTTTATTGTGGAACTGTAGTCTCTACTTTGCTGTAGGCCTGACCACCCCTATTCCCTTAGCAAAGCCTCACACTTGAGTTACCTCCTTGGTATTGGAGGTATTTGCATTTATACCTGATCCTTCACTAGTCCAAGCCCCTCACCTTCCTGATGAAGAAACTGGGGCCCGTGGAAAGGACACTGAGCTGCTAAGTGCAGAATTCAGCCTGGAAAGGACCAGGCCAGTCCTCACATATGCAATGCAATATCCAGAAGACCCTGACTAGCAGGGTCTGCAATACAGGCTGTTTAGCTTGAACGCTAACACGCTATCCTTGGGAGTCTTGGTGGGACTTTCAATCTTCTTTAGTTAATTGCCGCCGGAGAAATAAATCATTACTGGCACTCAAGATACCTTTAATGCAGACCAGTGGATCCTTCTGATGGGAAGGGAGAGAAGATGGTATTTGGAACTCAGAAGTTCCAAATGGCCTGGTTTAACATACCCAAAAAATCCAATTCTGTGTAAATCTGTCAATTAGCCATCTCTGCAGCACTGATCTTCTCCCTTTTATTTCCTTCCTCATATTTGTTAAATAATACTTAACAAAGCTCAATCATTTGATTCCCAGGGTAATCCCACGAAGAAATGCAACCTGGGATAATTACTCCCATTTCATTCTTGAGGCCCAAACTGGGTCTACCAGAAGACAGGAATGCTAAGCAAGGACCAGAGGAGAGTTTGGCAAAGTTCACTGAATGGCATATTTTGGTTTTGCCATATCCAAATATCACTGCATTATATAGTTATTACCTTTCCTTTTCTTTTTTCTTTTTGCTCTGTCACACCAGTGCAGTAGTATGGTCATAGCTCCTCACTGCAGCCTCGAACACCCTGTCTCAAGTGATCTTCCCACTGCTCCCACCTCAGCCTCCTCAGCAGCTGAGACTACAGGTACGTACCACCATGCCTGGCTTTTTGTTTTTGTTTTTGTTTTTGAGGAGATAGGGTCTCGCTACATTGCCCAGACTGGTCTCGAACTCCTGGCTTCAAGTGATCTTCCCACCTTTTGTTTTTACTTTTCTTTAACAGGCACTTACTGTTTTTATGAAAGTCATCTGATGTTGAAAGGAAATTTTACTTCAGTGTGTTCAGTAGAAAACCAGTATCACGTGCCATTAATAGAAGGTTAATATTTATAATACAAAACAATTCTAATTAGAAACTGTTGTCTGGGGAGCTTCTAAAAATCCTAATGCCCAAGCCAGAACTTAGACCTATTAAATTGGAATTCCTCTGGGGAGGAAGCAATCAGGCGCAAGTAACTTTTTAAAGCTCTCCCCAGGAAATAGCATCATGCAGCCAAGGATGAGACCCTCTAGAATAGATACTATTGCCTGCTAATGCCTCTGAGGCTGAAGAGTGCTTTGCCCTCTCTTCAGAAGAGAGACCAACAAGTGATAGGGAGGTATTAAAGAGACACTAGCCTAAAACCAAGACTTTCTCCTTAGCATCAAAAGAACTGAAAAGTAACTTTGATATCGGGAAAGTTCTCATTGGTGATTTGTTACTGTTAATGAGTCGCTCCTTTGCAGTCTAAAACCGCCCGACAGGGCACTTGCCCTTTGGAAAACACTGGATCAGAAGACCCCAGGTGGTATGCTTTCTATTCCTGTACCCTTTTAGCTCCAGAAGCTACCTTCCCAGCCAAAGACTCCCACAAGGTCACTGGAGAACCCCTACTCAGCTCTGAGTGTTCTCCAGCAGGGACTCCAAATGCCTGCATTTACATCACACTGTCAGACCCATCTTTCTATTTCAAAATGACTCTTCTCAGTGGTTCACATCAGAAAACCTTAAGGCAAAACCGGATCTCTGTCTCCTTTCATTTCCTCTCAAGAAGCCCCTCGTTTTCTCCCAGGAATGTCTGCCCTGGAGAAAACTTAAGTCAGCCCTGCCCTTTTGGATCTCAAAAGTAAGTATCGCTAGGGAAAAGGAAGAAAGAGGAGACTGACTTGGTGCAGATCCCCGTATGACTTTGAGAGCATCTTCTGCTGTGAAGTTTCTCTTTCATCCCTCATCTCTGAACACACACAAGACGGTTCTAATGGAGGCATGCATTAGAATGAAAGCTGGACTTTTGGGTGGAGATTCCAGATCTCCATGACATCATTTTCTTATCTGGTTTGGGGCATCACTGCAAGAACTGAGTACCGGCCTATGTGGACTCTGGTTTGAAGAGCTGCCCCAGAAGGACTATGTGGCCTCAAGAGCAAGCAGTTTGTCTCACTAGGCAGGTTGCTGAGCAAACCTCTGATCTGCTCACTTCCCATATTTACAACCTAGAATGCTGACACAGTGTCTACCACCAGACAGGCAGGTTGCTTTACTGTCTTGTCAGCAGAATCCATCTCTCTTGTTTCCCTTAGAGCCTAAGGTCCTGCTTTGAGGTCTCCTCCCTATTCTCCATCTCAGAGTTACACAGTCCCTCCTCCTAGTCTTAGCTCTTGTTGTGCCCATAGTCCAGAATGTTCTTTTGCCCCATCCCTGCCTGTCCAAAGCCTACCCACCCTCAAAGCTGATTGTAAATGTCACATCCTCCATGAAGCCTAAGATGATTCCTCCAGTCAAATAATAACAGTAATGGAATTAACAAAAAAAATAACAGTAATAATAATAACCTACATTTATTGAGTGCTGCTGTGGTCAGGCAACGGGCTAAGATCTCACATGCATAATCTCAACCAAATCATATACTAGATGTATCTCATTATCCCTGCCCTTTTGATATCAACTTACTTGTTCTCTCTGTGCCTCATTTTTCTCAGAAATCAATGGGGATTATAATATGTCTTCCTTGTAAGATTGTTTTAAGTATAAAATAAGCTGGTGTATGTAAGGCATGCAACATAGTACCTGATACCATAATTTTGGCTTAGTGAATATCATTAGTTTTTGTAACAACTTTAAGGTCTATGTTTGTACTGATAAGGACAGGAGGTAGGGAAATACTGGGTAGAAGAGGGTGGGGTCCGTAGTGAGGAGTCCACCCTCAAGCCTGGACCCACAGCCCTAAATAAGAACTTCACATTCTTGTTTTCCCACCCAAATGTTGCCTTTTCCAAAACCACCCTGGCCTGCCATGCCCCACCTCCACCCTATACCCATAAAAACTCCAAGCTCCACTGGCAGAAGAGCAGAGCGGTACAGCAGAGAAGGAGGGAAGAGAAGTGCCTGAACATCAAGAGGAGAAGAGGAAGCTAGATAACAGACTACAGTCAGAGAGGAGTTTGGGAGTGGCCAAACTCCAGAGGAAGAATATCTTCCCACTCTATCCCCTTTCTAATTCCCTATCCCACTGAGAGCCACTTCCACCACTTAATATCTCTACATTCACCATCCTTCAAGTCCATGTGACCTGATGCTTCCTGGACTCCAGACAAGAAGCCAGGTACCAAAAGGGCAGGGTGTAAAAGGCTTTCATTCTGACCTTCCACTGAGTTGGTAAACACTTAGTCATCTGTGGAAAGAAAATGCTAAAAGAGCATTGTTTATAACACATGCCATCTTGGGCTCCAGAGGTCACAGACAACCCCTAGATCCTGCCACGGGCTGGCACAGGGTTTGTTCCTGATAGCAGCCAAAGGCACTCACCCCAGCTCCTGCTCCTGCTCTCCTGTGTGCTCCCCCTCCTGCAAAGGGTTTGAGTGCAGTGACCAAGTAAACAAGCCACCCCTGTCGCAAGTCCCATGAAGGGGTCAAGGGAACTCTCCCATCTCAGTGTTATTCTCATCTTACAGATGAGGAAACCAAGCAATAGAGAGGTTGAGTAAACAATCCAAGTTCAGTGAGAAGCAAGAATTTTACTTCCCTGTGGTCTTCACTGAACTTTACTCATCACAAAGATGATGTAAGGATAATCTTCCAGTTGCCATGGGAACTCATTTCATCAGCATCTCAGCCATCCTGAGAGATTTGCATACATGACATTATGCAAAAAGAGAAAGTTAAATTGACTTGAAGTCAACTGGCTCTACTAGAAGTCAACTGGCTCTACTAGCTACTGTCCTCTGAGACACTGTGATATTTACATTGCATCATGGTTCAGGGTATTCCAAAGACAGGTGTGCTCATTAATCCTCATACTTTCTCTCACTCACCAGGAATGTGATCCAGCTACGGAAGCAGATGAGAGAGACCAAGGAACATGCTGGTGGAGCAGATGTTGAATTCCTCCTCCGCATTTCTGCTCTTCCGCTCTTTAATGGGCTTCCGGCCGGATGTTCCTGTTTGCAGAGACAACACCTAATGCTTAGCCAGCTTAACTGCAGGTCTGCACAATAACAAACGCTTCAGAATTTCAGCACTCATTTCTTCATCGAGGGCCCCAGAATTATGGTTGCATATCACCTACTCATTTCCTCTTGGTCCTACCTCACATGCTTTCATACTATTGCTGACCATCTGTACATGTTACTCACCCCTTTCCTCCTTCCCTCTATTCAAATAAGCCAGGCTGGGTTAGCACTCCGGATGCGTCCCTACTGATGGTTGGACAAATAGTATACAGTTTCCAGAAAGGGCGACAACTTTCCTTCCTGGAATCCCTGCACAAAATGCAGGGTCACACATGGCCCTGAGGAGGGATTTGGTGGCAAAGAGATATCTGAGTTTCTCATAGTTTGAAAGTACTAGGCTAGCTGTGGTTCCAAGCTGTCTACCAGGTCACCCTGTGGTGGCATAGTAAATTCACAGGACTGTGGTTTAAATTTTCCAAGGGAAAGAAGGGATCTTCTGTATCTGGTGAATACTGCACAAACTCAGGGTTGTTCATGGTTTCAACATTAGATCACATCATACTCCTTTCAGTGATGGCATTATTTGGGGGAAGTCATGTTTTTGGCAGTTACTGTGACAAAAAGCAAGTGCCACAAGGAAATCAGTGTGGAACAGGAAATGAAAGTGGCAGTGCGCACTCTGATTCTGAAGTTTAAGGAGTTGTACACTGCCCAAAGCCACACATCCCATTAGTAAGTAATTGTGTTGATTAAAGAATACAATAAAAATATTGTTTTTTGTTTAAATATATCATTTTTTTCAAATGGCCATTAAAAAGTTGTTAGCACATAAAGACTTTTAAGCGATTTGACCCTAACTACTTAATCAATGGATCTGTTTGGTATTTCTTTTGGCCTACAGATGCCATGAAAAAATTACTGAGGCCTAAGGGTTCTGCGACCAAGGAAGATTTGGATACTTCTGGTCTGGTCGAGTCAGCCATGTTTCACAGCTCCCAAGCACTTCACTGGTACCTGATCCTACGACAAAGCATCCTTGGGTATTGGTTTTGGTTGTCGTGGCTGTTTCAGAAACATGACTTTACCATGTTTTTGGTGCTAAAGGTGCCTACTACATGGGGCCTATGCAGCCACGTGCACCGGCCTCAGGCTCCCTGGGATCTCTCCCTTTCTTTTGTGCTTAAGTCACACCAACCTTTTTTCTGTTCCTCCAATCTGCCAAGTCCTGTCCTATCATAGGGGCTTCTTGCTGATTCTCATCCTGGTTCACCTGCAGGTCCCATCTTAAATGCCACCCCATCAGAGATCCCTCCTCTGTGATTCTTTGTCTCACCACCCATTCATCTCCTTCAAGTATTTTATCCTCTGCACATATGGCTCCATGAGGACCGAGTCCAGGTCTGTTCTGCTTACAACTACATTCGCAGAATTTAGCTGGGTACCTGATGTGTAATTTTCACTCAATAAATAACTGCAAGGTTAACAAGTGTCAATTTAAATCGTGCATAGGTATTTTAACTGGGGCCCTGCGCAACCCAAAGCATTTCAGAAGGCTTTTCTGGCCCAAGATCATCCAGCATGTAGAACAGAGCTGGGACCCAAACCCATGACTGTGCATCTCCAGTGTCTGTTTGCTTTGCTGCCGCTGATAAGACTGAGGATGCTACTTTCCTTTTTGTTAAATTTTCTGGCCTCCCAAATACTACAGAGTGGCATTTCATTATTATTGGCACCTACATAGCAAACATGATAATGCCTTAGATGTAAATGCCTTTGGTGACTAATTAACCCCACCTTTTCATATTTTTGTCTTTGGCATTATTTAACTTTCATGCCTTGTCAAGTCTCCCTAACTGGAGTGTAACCGGTTGGTGACAGTGCCCAAGTCTTAAGATTCTTTCTGTCTCCCCAGGTCTAAAAGGAACATCTCTTACCTATTAAAAAACAAATGAAATTGAGTTTCTGTCTATTTGGCTGTTCCATGTTCAAGTAAAATGACTGGAAGATCATTGCCAAGTCTGAATGGTATTTGGGACAACTTGATTTGGATCTGTGGTATACACAACTTTCACACTGGGGGACCAGGGAGGCACCTCAAGAAGGTAGACACACTTAGTAACCTTTGTACTATTTGATTTTTTTTTTTTTTTTTTTTTGGACACAGGGTCTCTCTCTGTCACCCAGTCTGGAGTACAGTGGTACAATCACAGCCCACTGTAACCTTAGCCATCTGGGTTCAAGTGATCCTCCTGCCTCAGCCTCCTGAGTAGCTGGGACCACAGGCCTGGGCCACCACACCCAGCTAATTTTTAAAAATGTTTTGTAGAGATGGAGTTTTGCCATGTTGCCCAGGCTGATCTCAAACTTCTGGCCTCAAATTATCTTCCCTCCTCAGCCTCCCAAAGTATGGGGATTACAGGTGTGAGCCACCATGCCCAGCATGATTTATTTTAAACCAGGGACATGAGTTACTTTTTAAAGTACCATCAAGAATACAGATAGATAGATACATAGATAGATAGATAGATAGATAGATAGATAGATAGATGACAGATATATTCAAAGCCAAAAATTAGAGAGAAAATGACAGCGCAGAAGACCAGGGGTCAGTTATTTTCAGGGCAGATTTCCAGAACAAGATAAAATAAAAGCCTGATGAATATTAATATAAATTTTTGGTGAATGAAGAAACAAATGCAGCCTTAAATGTGAGCCCCAAATCAACTGTCACAATGGAACATGCTCCAAATTGCAGACCCCGTTTTTTGGTCAATCTATTTCTCTCCAGGAGAATTCTATGTGCTCTAGAGTGAGTAGCAGCAGGAATGTGCTATATTGGATGGTGCTTTAACAATTCATCCTATAAATGCTGGGGGTGCTGGTTAATAGTCAATAATTGTTGATTGGAGTTGATGTTGATAGGGGACCCTCAGACAACAGATGACAGGACCTCACCACAAACATCTGCCCACTCCATGTTGTTCCCACCTTGCCTTGTTCTACCTGTGTCTACTAACAGCAAGACAAGACCAACTGTTCTCATACCTTTCCAGCATACCCATTTCTACATCTCAGCAACCCTACAATCTAGGATGCACCCACTTCCTTCTGGTCACCCACACACCCATTTCTTTCACTGGGATTACCAAAGAGTTACATTTAGAGACGAAAACAAAAAAGGTTTCCACACACAAATGGCAAAATCAAGGTCAAAGTGGAACACTCACTCTGCAGTCAGTCCAGTTGAGCAGGCCAAAAATGCCCACTTGGATAATGACATTCAGCAGTGACTGCATCTACCACCCTCGGCCCTTATCATGGGCCAAGGGTGGAGGACGATATTATAAACATGTGATAAGAGTCATCTTTGAAGGAGAGGAAATTAATGGGGACATTGTAGACCCTTTGAAAGTGAAGCTGATTCTAACGAACCAGCGGGTTCTCCTTGAACCACTGCTTAGACAGAGCTGATTTATCCATATAGGGGAGTTGCAACAGAGAAAAAGTTTAATTCATGCAGAGCTGGCTGTACAGGAGACTAGAGTTTTATTATTACTCAAATCAGTCTCCCTGAAGGCTCAGAGGTTAGTGGTTTTTCAAAGATAGTTTGGTGGGTAAGGAGCCAGCAAGTAGGGAATGCTGGTTGGTTGGGTTGGAGATGAAATCATAGGGAATGGAAACTGTCTTCTTGTGTTGAGTTGGTTTCTGGGTGGGGCCCATACAGTTGTCAGAAACGCAAAAACCTGAAAAGACCTCTCCAAAGGCCAGTCTCAGATTCTAAAACAGTGATGTTATCTGATGGAGTAAGCGGGGAAGTTGCAAATCTTTACACCACCTAAATAATGGCTACCTAGGCATATTTCCTAATAGAATTCAGGCCCCTCTCATCCTCCTAGCTTGGTGTCCTTTCATTGTTTTTTTGTTTTTTGAGACGGAGTTTCACTCTTGTTGCCCAGGCTGGAGTGCAATGGCACGATCTCAGCTCACTGCAACCTCCGCCCCTGGGTTCAAGGGATTCTCCTGCCTCAGGCTCCAGAGTAGCTGGGATTACAGGCATGTGTCACCACACCAGGCTAATTTTGTATTTTTAGTAGAGACGGGGCTTCTCAGGTTGGTCAGGCTGGTCTTGAACTCCCGACCTCAAGTGATCCACCCGCCTCAGCCTCCCAGAGCGCTGGGATTATAGGCATAAGCCACCGCTCTCAACCCTTTTCATTAGTTTTACAAGGGCAATTTAGTTTCTGGGAAGGGCCATTATCATGTAATTAAATTTCTCCCAAAGTTAGCATGGCCCACACACAGGAATGAGCAAAGATAGCCAGAAGTAAGATGGGGTCAGTTAGGTCAGATCCCTTTCACTGCCATAATTTCCTCACTGTTATAATTTTTTGCAAAGGGAATTTCAACTCTAGGAATCTTTTGCAAAGCATTAAAACAAAACGAAACAAAACAAAACACCATGTATTTGAAGGGCCCCTGAAAAACGGAATGAGCTAACTTCAAGGAGTTTTCTGCCTCCAGTAAATACCACACCTAAAACAGTTGCTTCCTCATCACCACCCAGAAAAGTACAGCATTTCAGCAGTTACCTGGTAACTTACATCCATCCCAGGAGAAGGTTCTCAGCTATGAGCACATGTAAAATTGTATTTGAAATATGAACTATGGTCTAACCTGGGCCTGTCAGATTATAAAAGACAAATTTCTGGATCCACTATATACCCTGCCTTTTACATGTGCTTCACTTTCTTCTTTCAGTAACCTTTTTTTTTTTTTTTTTTTTTT